CGGCCGGCCGCGGGGTGCCGGGCGCCGCCGAGCCGCATTCCGACACAGTGGGCCGGCCTGGCCGCCGCTCGCCTGGCCCGGCGCGCCGCGTTCGTCGGCGGCTGCTCCACGAGCCGGGGCGGTGAGGTGCACCTGTTCTTCAGCCGGCCCGCAGCCAACCCTCGGCCAGCACTCTCCGGGAGAGACCAATCCGAGCGCAGCGCGGAGGGCTAGCGGCCCGGCCCGGCTTGCTTCACTCCCGCCGCCCGCGGCTCAGCGCCGCCGCCGCCGCCGCCCAAGAGTCAAACTCCAGCGAACCGCGCCGCCGCGAGCCGGGGGCCGGGGGCGCACCGGGCGCCCGCGGCGGGTGTGCGCAGACCTGCCGCCGAGGGAACCCGACAACCTGGCCGAGGACTGGAAATCACGCCCCAGCGCCCTGCGGGGTCAGGCGTGGGGAGCAGAAGCAGGAGACAGCGTCGGGGATCCCTGGCGACGCGGACTCCGGGCTGAAGGCGGCTCGGGGCGGACTCCGGCAGCCGGGCGGATGCGAGTGTGTGTGCCGAACTGCCGCGGCGGGCTGGGATTCGGGCAGAGTAGCGCCTCCCACCAACACCTAATGGTGGTTTTTTTAATGCGCACAAGATAAATAAATGAACGGAGCAAACCCCCGTTTGGGGGTGTGTGGCGAAAGAAGCTGCCCACCGATCGTGATCCTGTCCCCTGTGCGGACCGGTGGGGTCGGAGCCTGACGCCGCGAGGCGAGGAGCGGGGGCGGGGGCCGCGGCGGGTGGGAGGGCGCCGCTGGAGGGAGAGCCACCTTAGCCTCGCAGTTCTGAGAGATGCTGGTGAAGCAGGCGACCTTTGTGGAATCAGACCTGTCAGATATTTCGATTTTTTTTTTATGAAAACTTAGCTTTTTTTTAAAAAAAAAAGTATTGTCTTTAAATGCTGATGTTAGTATAGACACACACGTCACGAGGCAAATGCTTGTGAGAATGAAATGTAAAAAAAAAAAAATAACCGATTTGGGTTGGTATCCCGAATTCCGTTGCCGGTTTCTTCCCTTGGTTAGGGAGGCACCTCTATAAACTATATTTCAGGTGCAATGTGGTACCTGCCTGGGGACTGAAGAAGCATAGAGGAGATAGAAAAAAAGGGTAAAGACCCAGTGTGAGCATGGTATATGCTGATGGTGCAAAGCCTTGTTTGCTAACTCTCTATATATTTCCTAGTCTATAAGCGAAAACCAAGGAGGAGGTGTTTTTATTTACAAGCACCACGAATAAGAGGTTGAGAATGGCAGCTTCCTAATACACCTCTCCTGTGCTGTCTGGTGCAGATGATGCAGCCGACATTCTCTTGTCCTGTAATAGTCTCGACAAAGATGAAGTTTTCAAGGTATCCATTTTATTCACAGGTGAAGAGCTGAGCGGTACAGTGAAGAGACTGCAGACAGCAGAGGATTCATTGAAACAGGAAGCCCCTGGGATTTGGTGCCTGCCAGAGTACTTTGCACAGACACGGTTAATAAATTATTTTTGATGGCGGTAATGCGGCTGTCACCTCTTTCAGCTATAACATTGAGACTTTCCCCATGGGAAAGCTTTTGATTTTTAGTTGGATAGAACATGCCCTAATCCAGTAGTGCTGAATTATGGTTTTGCAAAAATTGCAAGTGGGGGAAAAATACCCAAAACCCTTGAATCCATATTCCTTCAGTTTTCCAATGCAAAGTACAGTTCTGTTAAGTAAAAACTGACCTATTCGCTACCTTCGGTGGGTGCTGGTAATCTACTGCCTCGCCTTTCCTGTATGGCAAAAAAAAAAAAAAAAAAAAAGAACACTTTACCACAGAACTCTTTTGGAGTTACAGCAGGTGCTGCTTTTAGCTATTTGAAACAGAAAATTCCTTTTCCAAACCACTCTAGTCCACCTCTCCCCCCATTCCTGTGGTCTCTCCCAACTTCCCTGCCTGCTGGAGTCATTCCACTGTGTGAGAAGGGACGCTGGAATGCTGCAGCTGGGCAAATGCTCCCTTTCCTGAAACCACAGTCCGCCAGCATTCACACCATGTTCTCTCAGTGCTCCCTGATGCCTCATTCATCTACCTCTCCAAATTCCCTCCTCTTCTCATTTCCACTTGGCTTTAACAACTTATGCATGGATCCCTGTTGAGCTCATTTTCCCCCAGATCCCAAGCTATTGCACTCAACTACCCACTGGCTGCTCTCACAATGAACATCATCACTAGAAGGGGAAAAAAATAGACCATTGCTTTGATAGCCTGGTATTGGGGAGCAGGATGTACTAGCCCATCCAAGAAAGTTTGGCTAGTAGAATCATCATTAACTTGCAGTTTTATTGTGAAGCTCCCTGGTAGCAGGTGGTAGGCACTGGAACAGGAATTGGGGTGTTGGGGTCAAGGACAGTTGAGTCAAGGACACTTGGTGGACCCTCCCAGTGCTAATGAGAAGCCAGTTAGCCCCATGGTAAAGAGGACCGTCATTTGGATGACAGCTCAGGGTACTGGAGAAAACTTCAGATTCAGACTCTCAAGAGAGGGATTCACATTAGGGTTCTGCCCTTTATAAGCAATGAAATCTCTCTGGGTCACCATTTTCTTAACTGTGAATGGAGCTATAATCCCTACAGTCTACGTAATTGTATGAAATTGTACAGTTAGACTGTTCACCTGTGTCATCTTTTATTCATTATCAATATCTTCCTATCCTATAGAGAGAAGTGTAGATTACTGTAACAGACAGATGGGCATACACACATCAGCCTCTGCTGAGCATCTACCTGACTGTAATTACCTTCTACATATCTCAGGTGTGGTCCAGCAACACATTGAACTTGGGATTTCTAATCCTTGCAGAAAGTTTGCCCACAAATTGGCATTTCTACTGAAATTTACTTTTCCATTCAATTCTCCCACTACCCCCAGGCTGAGAGTCTCGGGGCCATCTCTACTAGTTGTCATTTACTTTCTGTCTCTACAAGATGACTGTCCAGGCTTCCCTCCACTGCAATTCATTGGTAAAGGCTCATGTTTAGAACCACAGGGCTAGAAATGACCTTAGTGGCCAAACATTTCCCACGTGTCATCTCATAAAACGTCCCAGCCCAATAGTTAATTTGGTTCCATCTAGAGCTGTAGGGGAAGAGACACTTCCTGGGGAAGACCAGCCAGGCTGTCAATATACATAACTCAAAAAGTCTTTCTGTTGAGACAAATTCTGCTTTCCCACACATGCATCCCTTCTCTCTTAGCTCACTTGTAGAAACCTACTATGAATTAGGTGTTAGGGCAGTGTTTTTAACCTTTTTTATCGCCTGGCACACTTGAACCTATAGGTAAACTTCCACGGCACACTTAAATTATGTTAATCAAAAAAGTGAAAAAAAAATATTCTTAATGTGTTTTGAACAACTTCCAAAAACAACATCATTGATGATCTTTAAAAATTTTCACAACACACCTAGGATCCTCTAGTGGCTCACCAGTTGAAAATCAGAGGATACAGCAGAGAACAAACAGAAGGTCCCCTCCTTCACAGAGCTTATTTATTTATGTATTTATTTTTGGTGAGGGAGACTAACAATAAACAAACAAAAGACATAAATCATGTAATCTATTAGCACATGCCAGGCACAGTGCTGAGCGCATCCCAAGTGACAGTTTTCAACAGCAAAATAACCTACGTCAGGTACAAGTCTGATGCCAAAATCTTCACTCACTCTTCTTTACTGATGATTGATTTACATCAGAAATAAATCACTGGACACAATATAAGAGATAGATGTGGAGCAACTGAAAATCTTCATATCCTCAGAAGAGATTAGGAGGTAAGAGAGGAAACTCTAAATCCATACTGAAGTTCTTAATATGTCTCTCAATATATTAGACAAGTCAAGAAGTCAAGGTCATATTGGGCACATCAGCTACTGCGGCCTAAGGTCCCAGTAGTTGCTACCAAGGCAGTTTGGGGGCGGCCTAAGGTCCCAGTAGTTGCTACCAAGGCAGTTTTGGGGATCCTTGAACTGCTTAGCAGGGAATCCCCATAGCGTATGCATGAAATAAACCAGTGACAAATTGTGGAAAATTATCTGTTTGTTTTCTCCCAAAGAGTGTTTCGAAGATTTCATTCCAACTCTAAGGAAGAAAAAATACAGATTTCCAGAAAACATAGGTGAGACGAAGCCAAAGTGTTATTTATACAAACATGAAATCACATCAACTCATTCTGAATGCAGCTGTAATAAGCTGCCTTTCTTAGGAATAATGATGCTTT